AATATATATATATATATATATATATATATATATATCGAACTAAATTTTAGATGCGTCTTTATAGCCTTAGAAAGTTCTACACTTTCGAGATATTATGACGCAATAATACCTAATTAAAAATAATGAGAAAAACTTTAAAGGTTCTATTAACATGATGCACTAATATAATATTGACCAATTCACAACAATTAAACTACACAATTAACAGTCGTGTATATTTAACATACTAAAAATACAGGAATTGTGTCCTATAAAGCAATCACTATGCAAACTTCTTTGAAGTACCAATAACATAGCCACTATTGAGATAAATTGGATGCTAAAGGACTAAATCACTCGGTTTAGAGAGTGTACCTCATTGGCAGTAGTGAATGTAAGAAAAAAAGGGAGATACGTAATGGTCTTCGTTGGAATATAATCAGTGAACATGACAATGCACTTTCATTGTCATACAAATATGAATGTCTTGATTCATTGGAAGAACTTCACTAGTTTAGTTACTCATTTTAGCTTGCTTCTGGCTAGTAGCAGATGACGACAGTAGCGCTAAAACTGCTGTTAATCATGTCAATTGGCTTGATGAAACTTGCATTACTCAGTTTGGAATAAGAGTGGTATGTTATATATCTATATATATAAGCGAAATCTGTTCTATGTTTGTTCACTAACTTATCGCATACCATTTGGCCAATCTCCAACAAACATTGCATGGTGACTCCTATCGCCCCTAGAAGTAGCATGGAGGGGTCAAAATTCTGTCAACTGGACACCGACCCGGCTCGTCCAACAGACTCACCTAATCAACAGCACAAGTCGATTATGTTTCCTTCTTCTTCCACGTCCAACTATACACTACTCCTATCGTCTTCCTACAATATTTTCACCAAAACATCTTCCACCATGTACGCCAATATCCTTTCACAGAAGCTCATTCCAACTCCAACAACCTGTCTAGAATTCCAACAGGAACTCTTCTGTCTTTCATTGTCTGTGCCAAACTGTTATTTTTATTTCTAAACCCTTTTCTTAAATGCTATGTCCGTTACTTGTGTTCATTCATTCATTTTATACAAATCATCACTACTATGTCATACCGTCTAATCTATGTTGTTGTTTTTATTATGTATCACTATGTTTTGTGAAGGTTA